CTCCAGGAAAGATGGGGAGACCCTGGCCCAGGTTGCCCAGAGCAGCTGTGGGTGCCCCATCCCTGGAGGGGTTCAAGGCCAGGCTGGATGAGGCTTTGCGCAACCTGGGCTGGTGGGAGGGGTCCCAGCCCATGGCAGGGGGTGGCACTGGATGGGCTTTAAGGTCCCTTCCCACCCAAACCATCCTGTGGTTCTAGGTCTCTGCCCGAGGCGTGTTTTGCCAGTGACACTAAACTCGGAGGAGCTGTGCACTCCCTCGAGGGCAGAGAGGTCTGACAGGGAGATCTGGGCAAACCAGAGAGCTGGGCGGTCACCAGCCATGTGAAATTGAACAAGAGCAAAAGCTTGATTCTCCACCTGGGATGGGACAACGCTGGGTATATGTACAGATTGGGGGACGAGAGGCTCAGGAGCAGCCCCACAGAAAGTCATGGTGGGGTTTGGGTTGGTGGCAAGCGGAACAGGACTCAGCGGTGTGTCCTGGCTGCTCCAAGGAGCCGACCTGGGGTGCATCAAGCGCAGCATCACTGGGCAGTTGAGGGACAGGATTGTCCCACTCTGCGCCGCGCTGATGGGACCCCATCTCGAGCTCTGGGTGCAGTTTTGGGCACCTCAATATCAGAAGGCCATCAAATCATGAGAGTGTCACCAGAGAAGGGTGACCAAGGTGGGGAAGGGTCTCGAGGGCTAGATGTACGAGGTCACTTGGCACCTTCAGCCTGGAGAAGGCTGAGGGGTGACCTCATGTCACCTCATCACAGCCTCCAGTTTCCGCAAAGTGGGCAGCAGAGGAGGAGGTGGTGACCAGCACGAGGACGCGAGGCCATGGGATGAAGCTGCATCAGGGGAAGTTCAGGCTGGGCATTAGGAGAAGGTTCTTCACCAGGAGGGTGATCAGTGCCTGGAACAGTCCCCACAGGGATGTGGTCTTGGCACCAACCCTGGCAGAGTTCAAGGAGCGTCTGGACAACGGTCTTAGGCATGGTTCAGTTTTAGACAGTCCTGCGAGGAGCAGGGGGTTGGACTCGATGATCCTGACGGGTCCCTTCCAACTTGAGATACTCCGTGATTCTCCATCTCCCAGCCTGGCCGTGGGAGCTGGGACACAGCACGAGTGACCCGGGGCGTGGGGCCGTCCCTGGAGCGTGGGGGACCAGAGCTGCACGCGGGTAGACCCGGTTGCGTGCCCACACCCTCTGCGTGCCGCGCTGGGCTGGTGCTGAGCCAGCAGGCTTGGACATGGTGGTGGGCTCCGCACCTCGCTCTTTGGCCCTCCGGGCTTCCTGCGGGGCTGGCGGCTTGGGCTGTGACTGCCAGCCCAAGGTTGTCATCTTGGGTCAAAGCTGGGACCTCCAGCTTGTCCTGCTCTTGTCCCCAGCCTGGCATGGGTGCGCTGGCCCTGGCAGGTCGGGGAGCAAAGGGGGGTGGTCCCCAGCGTGGGTGCGGGGCTGGGGTGTGAAGGGTCACCATGTCACTGAGCAGCTCCCTGTCCTCTTGTAGTTGTTTCCCTGCAGCTGGACCCATAACGAGGTTTTTAAGCCCTAAAAGCCGAGGGTGGACTCAAGGCGCTGAGCCCAGCCCTTCCTTAAAGCATAGCAGTGCCGACGCGGGCGTGGGACGCGTGTCCTCCCGCTGTCACCGCTCTCCCTCTGCTCTGGCTCAGTTCTACAGCTCCTCGGGGATGCCCACCAAGCACCTCTCTGACAGCGTCTGTGCCGTCTGCGGCCAGCAGATCTTCGTGGACGTCAACGAGGAGGGGATCATCGAGAACACCTACCGCCTCTCCTGCAACCACGTGTATCCTTCTCCTTGGGAGCCAGCCCCTCGCCTTGCCGGCTCCCCGCAGAGAGCTCCTGCGCCACGGTGAAGAAACGTCCGTCCTGGGCCCCGGGAGGGGCTGGGTCTGCTGATTTTGCACCTGATGTGGGCCCCGGGAGGGGCTGGTTCTGCTGATTTTGCACCTGATGCTTGGCTGTGTCATCGCTGACTTGGCGTGGAAAGAGGCCAAGTCCTGCGCATCCCTGAAATCACTTCCTCGCCGCCTCTGCGTGCGTTACGAGGGGTTGTTTCCTCTTCCTTCCCCTCCTTGGCTCCGGCAGCGCTGCCGTGGAGCTGCGCCTCGCCTTTGCCAAAGCTGCTGGGACCTCCTGGTGCGTGCTGGCTCCGGCGGTGTGAGGTAGGGACATGGAGTGTCCCCAGTGCAGCGGCGCTGCGCTGCTGCTGTCATGCTGGCCCCTCGTCGCTGTGGAGCCTCCGGAGGGAAGAGTCGGG